GTTGAAAACATGAATTAGGACCAGTATGAGTAGACTATCCATCAGAAAAGTCTAAAAGAACAGTAAACAGGGAAATAGTATAATAATTACAATTCCATGGGCTTAAAAATTTGAGAAAATGGAAAATAGGAGAGAATTCTAAGAGAGCGATTCCACTGATGGTGGGGTCCCAGTGGTTTGTATATTGAATAAAGATGTAGATAGATGACATTAAACACTATTATTACAGAAGTATTTTTGAATAGTCATACATTTTTCTGAAGTGTACTACCAAGTTTTGTTGCTAATTAGTCATTAATTTTAATACCGAGTTCTTTTTAGAGTGTTTGGCATTATAATAGACAATAAATATGTATGCATAAATGGCCCAAATTTTAATGCTCTGAGTAAAGGATTTTTAAAATCCTTGGTTAAGTGTTAACACTGAACTCCTAAAAACATAGGTTAAGATTTTTACTTAAAAAATTGTCAAAATTTTTATTGCTTAATAAGCTACATAAAAATACAACTTTATTAATTATACTAAAACAAGTAATCATATATAATCACCATAGCATATTTATTGAATGACAAAGTCACTAAGTGATAATAGTGATATTTCAGCAGCCTTGTTACTATCATGTTAAACATTCTCTTTACATCATTACAAAGTATTAGTACATCATACCATAGAGGCAAAATAGGAACTAGTCACTAGACAACATAAAAGAGGTAAAATTTGTAGAATGATTATAAATTAAGATTAAGGTGTTTTTGCCCCTGGCCAGTGTGACTCAGGTGGTTGGAGCCTCATCCCATAACTGAAGGGTTTCGGGTTTGATTCCCAGTCAGGACACATACGTAGGATGCAGTTTCAATCCCCAGTCCAAGTACGTACAATCCTCGAGAAGGCAACTAATCAATGCTTCTCTCTCGCATTGATGTTTCTCTCGCTCCCTTCTCTCTCTCCTTTCTCTCTAAAAGCAATGAAAAAGTGTCCTCCGGTCAGAATTTAAAAAAGAAAAAAGATATTTTTGAATCCTGGATTACAGGAAAAACTGCAAATTCTAACATGCCTGAATATTTCTATTGCCAAATACCTATTAGTTTATTAATTATATTCTATATATATATTTTGTGAACATTTGCCATAGAGCATGTTTATAGATAACATATGACAGAATTTATGTTGACTTTATCACTTATAGTTTTCATTTAAGATGTTTTACACAAGCAGCAAAAAACAAGAAATTCCAGCCAAGCCCAGGTGGGGAAATGTAGTAAGATGGTACTGGCCCACCATCATTAGAGTATGCCCTTTCAAAGTGACTTTGACAGGTGGGGAAGTTTATAGTAACCCATCCACACTGCTTTCCTCAAGGCTAACATTTTTAGGATGACCAGTTGTACTCTTAGGTGGTATCAGAACTGAGTTAAATGTCCTACATAAAAACTGAACTGTAATCTTGGCCTAACTAACAATCTTTTCATTATACTTGGCTTTTAGACCAGGCACATGCAAAGCAGAATTAAGTGTTAAATAGAATATTAGCTTGTCCACAATATTTCATATTTTAAATAATTGTATTTTGGGTATTTATATTTTTTAAATGAAAATATTTTTTGTCTCTTCAAGACAGACTTCAAAGCTATGCATTTTTTTAAATTTCAAAAGATGTTCATTTTGCCTTGGCTGGCGTAGCTCAGTGGATTGAGTGTGGGCTGCGAACCAAAGTGTCGCAGGTTCAATTCCCAGTCAGAGTACATGCCTGGGTTGCAGGCCATGAACCCCAGCAACCCCACATTGATGATTCTCTCTCTCTCTTTCTCCCTCCCTTCCCTCTCTAAAAATAAATAAATAAAATCTTTAAAAAAATGTTCATTTTAAATAAGTGGAGTTTTATACATATATTTTCTCATAGGTAAATCCTTTCTTATGCCTCTACAATACATATAGCATATTTTTACATCAATAATGGGTTTATTTTGTGTATTAATAGCTCCAATATAGAAAGTGTGTTGGCTGTTGCATTTAAAGATTTATTTTATTTTTTTGGTTTATTTATTTATAGAGAGAGGGCTGGGAGAGGAGAAACACGAATGTTAGAGAGAAAACATCAGTTATCTTTTGTATGCCCCTGAACCGGGGATGGAACCCCCAACCCAGACACGTGCACTGACAAAGAGTAAAACTGGGGACACTTCGCTTTGTGGAGCAATGTAGAACGATGCCCAACCTACTGAGCCACACTGGTCAGGGCAGTCTATTCAGAGTTTAATCATGTAAATTTAGCCTAATAGTTATGCCTTAGATATTTATAGTTAAAAATTAACAAAATGGAAGAAATATTTTTCCCATTATCTATTATCTTTTTCCATTCCTAGTTTTACTGATTTCTGGCTGTCATTTAATTTTTGTTACATTATTAAAAATATTTTCCCTTTTTATTGAGTTTATTGGGGTGACACTGATTAACAGTATTATCCAGGTTTCAGATGCACAATTCTACAACACATCATCTGTGCACTGTATTGTGTTCACCAGAGTCTGCAGCCATCACCATTTACCTCCCCTTTATCCTCTTCCACCTCCCCCGACCCTCACAAGCACCACACTGCTGTGTACCTGTTTTTGTTCAGTCCCTCCACCTGCCCCCAGCTCCCCTCCCTGCCCACATAGCTATCAGCCTATGAGTCTATCTCTAATTTGCTTGTTAGTTCATATAGTTCCTTAGATTTCACCTAAGTGAAATCATATGGTACTTATCTTTCCTTCTCTGTTTTTATTTCTTAATCAGCCCTGAACCAGTACCAATATATTTTCTTAATGCTATCTCATGAACCACACTATTTAAAATGAAACCTGAATTTATTTAGCCAAGGCTTTTTCAAACTTTGTGTTCTTTGGAGAAAAAAAAATATCGGTAAGTCTATGGTAGTCGAATTAAGTTCAAAGACTCCAAGATACCAAACAGGAATAAATCCTAAGTTTTACCTTGTGTTTCCAAAACTTTTGGTATTTGAACATTGAATCCCTTCTAATGTTTGAGAAATAAAGAATTTGTCCTTATATATTTATTCCAGATATGAAGTGAATCAGAGTGATCCTTTAATCAGTTGCAAGCATAAAAACAATCATGCCTAAACAGGAACCAAACTTTCTCTAATTTAAAACACAGGTGTCAAGTGCCCCTGCCACTTTCCCTTACTTCACAAGGAAAGAAGAGGCGAGTGTTAACTATAATTTATTTCAACATCAGGGTTTCCAGCTCATAGTTCCCTAAACTTATTTCCAGTATGCTTAATTTCAAGAAATTAAAGAAAATGCCCTGCAAATCTGATACTGTAATAGTACCACACTGAAGTTGATCACATGGATCAAATTCTGACACAAAAACTGTGTGTGTGTGTGTGTGTGTGTGTGTGTGTTGCAGAGGGCAGAGGCATTAAATGTTTGTTACAGGCAGCCTGTTTTTCACCCCCAAAACCGGCCCAAAAAAGGTAATTGACTGTATTACTTCTTAGAACTTCAATATAAATAAGTAGGCAAATTTTAAAGGAAGTATTCTGGATAATAGTAAATGGGATTTTTTCAACAACAGTATTATTTGTTACAATAAGATCGATTTTTCTGAAGAGTCTAAAATCTCACAGTAGTATATATTTTGAACCCCCCGCCACACACACACACACACACACACACACACACACACACAAAGATACACAAATACTGTAAAACCTGTTGACCTCGCCATGTATAAAAAGGCTCCATAAATGCTGGGGAAAGCTGAAGAAACAACAAATGGTATATGCCAAACAAATTTAAAATTGAAATGTGTTAGGACTTTAAAATAAATTATTTTTAAAAGATTTCAGTTAAATACCTTTACATTATCACAACAGTACCAATGAAACCACAGCTTTAGTAGATAACTGGGGGTTGAGATGAATGTATCTTTTGCTATAGTACTTTTACTCTAAAATGTGGCGAAAAGCGGTACATATGTATATAAATTATTTTTGTTAACAGCTTGATGACAAAGACCTGAAAGCACTTTAGATATATCTTAATAGTTTTTCTTAAACTGGTCTCTGCAGATCCATAAGGATCAATAGTTATACCTAAGCATTTTTTTAAATTTTGTTTTAATTTCAATAATACAAAAAGCATATCCTAGGTCACTTGAATTATTAACTCATAACTAAACACTGAATTACTTCAATGCGTAGGGTTGCAATGTATTGATTACAGTGGCATCAAGTAGGAACTGACAACCTAAATAATAGTAGTAAGTATTGTTCATACCAGTCTGTAAATATTCTCAGGGGTCCTTGGGTTCTCACTTGAGAAGGATTACCCTCAACTTTTACAAGAATGTTTAGCTATACATGAAATTCAAACCCTTTGAAAAGTCTAACTTCTGTAACATATCTAACTTGTTTTACTACCCTCCCCCAAAAAACAAAACCCAGCACCTCCTTATAAAAAAGTATCAAATTTATTTCAATACCTACTTTCATTTTTAAATTAAAGCTCTTGGGTAATTTCTGTAATTTAAAATTCATTACCAGAGATGAAGAAAATATTAATAAGCTATTAAATACCGACAGCAAGTAAAATTATTGGACTATGCATATATAAAAGCTGTATTTCATAGTAAAGAGTTCCAGTTTTAAAGAAATATCCTTTAGCATTTTATTTCTAATTACAACACACACTCATTCTGACATAATTTATCTTTTCACCCAATTACTACTATACCAAACAAAATTTTTCTAAATGTTAAGCCTTTTTTTACCACTTATGAAATGACTTACTTTTTAAAAGTTCCTTAAAAGAAATTTGAAATTTTAATTTTCACTATTAACTTGTTAGCTCAAAAATCAGGACATCACTACCATGAGTTAAAACAAATGGAATAAAAAGGAAAAGTATCTAAATAATCAGCAAATTATCAGCTAAGACATTTTAACTACTTCACATTTCTAATTAGCACAAGAATAAACTGGTTCCAAAGCACTACAAGGTTTGGAATTTTTATTGCAAGCTTTGTATCATAGTGTTACTCTATTCAACAAATCATCTCTAAGTAAATGGCAGTGTTTGTAAGTACAAAAATTGTTATATCCGGTAGGTGGTATTCTATATAGACAAAATAATAAGAGAATTTTTTATAAAACTTGATTTTAAAAAGGCAAGATATCTGATAATTACCAGTATCTCAAAGGCAAAAATGAGAAAAATGCAGAAAATTGAAGTACTCATTGATTAATAATATTTTGCTTTGAGAAAGCCAGAATGATTCTAAGAAACAAGCAATAAGGATAAAAGATATAATTAATATACTGGATCTCTTTTAAGCCAAAGCGTACTTTTCACCTCAGGACAATTTTCATTTTTACATTCTCAGTTTCCTTCATGCAGAACAGGACCCCATTTTGAGCCATTATTTGAATAGAGTTCGTAATTTAAAGTCATTTTTCCCCCCACAGGATGTTTACATTTCAGGAGATAAGCTGCAAAATGGCAAATGACTAAGTCAGTCATAAAGAATTTGCAGTATAATAAATGCCAATTTACAATAACTGTCAACAGACTTCTGTATCGAAGCTTAAAAGCTGCTATACCAGAGGTCAGAACTAACATGAATCTTCCATATGTTCAAACTTCATTTACTAGTCATAAATCCAGACAAGAAACCTTAGAGGGTCCTTGCAAGCTGCATAATTTCCCAAGTAAGTTTTCTCCAGTGGCAGAGCCTGTTCATTCCTTCAGTCCTTTTTTAATCGTTTAGCTTTTGCAATATTTTCTTGACGTTTTTGTTTTTTCTTTTGCTCCTTTTCCCTTGCCTCAATCATCTTGGCCAATTTCCAGGACAGGACAGCACTTGCTAGAAACAATGGAGTAAGGGCCAAAATAACTGTTGTAAGGAAGCCGTATGGGTCCTTTGCAGCCCATTCCACAATATACTCAGCCCAAGCCTTTATGTCAAACATCTTTGTGGCGGTCTTAGGAAAGGGAGGCTGGGGGGAAGAGAACAAGAGAAAAGAATATGTGGTTAATGAACTTTTGAAAAAGTTACATCATACAATCAGTTAACTCAGAATTCCATTATCACTCATTAGTTGTTTTTAAAAGTATTAACTGGTACTATTTAAAAGTATTAACTGGTACTATTTTAATAGATATCTCCAGTTAAAAAAGAATAATTCAGTTAGGACAACAACAAGAGTGACACTCAAAAAATGTGAAGGTATAGAAGATAAAAGTGAAAACCATGTGGAATCTGTCATAAAGGACTATGCATTCTCACATGCTGCCTATAATTGAGATAAATTTTAGTAGCAAACTTTTATAAGAATCTTGAGTTTTATATATTCATTCCAGGAAACTGTTGAGCCCCATTTATCATTATTTTTACACAGCCTTAGTACTATTGAGTACTAATTAACAAAAATACAAATCATCAAATTTGGTGTGTGAAAAAGACAGGCGAGACTACATGAAATGCTTGGAGAAGGAGAGGTAATGAATGACCACTTCCAGGAATAGAAAGAAGAAACCACAATAATATCCACATTCAGATACAAAGAGATAAAAGCAAAATGTGACATACTATTTGATGTGCTCTTTCAGCTTTGAGGACTCCTACTTGAGGACATAATGTAATAAATGAGAATATATTTAATAATGAGAAAATTAACCATAACAGGTGCCATGCATTTGTTCCCTTTTGAGTTGATAAGGAGGGCCATCTGGCAAATGAGGATAGCGTGGATTTGAGTGTCATTTTTATTTTGCCCCAGAGGCTTTTCTACCTTTCACATTTGTGTCAACCCCTATTCAAAGAGGAGAATTAGAATACCGTGGTAGGAATGGGTCTATATACAGTTACTCGTATTTTCAGCGGGTATTAAAAAATTATCTACCTTAGGCTTGAGTTGTGATCTCTAACTTTGTCCTGGGATTATTAGTGAGCCAATTACAATTTCAGATAGATGACCCTTGGTTGATTGTCTTCTTCTTTAGCTTTACTATATGCTTTTGAGAGGTTTATATTCTATATGCTGGAGGGGTTGAAAAGAATAGATAACAGAATAAAAAGTTTAAGTCACAACTTTCAGGATAATTATAATACAAGTTAAGTGAAAAACTTCTAAATTGTACATATGCAACCTATAAATGGCACCTAGAATTGCCTGGCACACCACAGACATCTACTATCTATCTCTTTCTTCCTACTTTGAAAAAAAGAAATAATTACTACAACTGCAAATGCTCTCTAAAAAAAATTCTTACTTCCTGGAGATCACGTATTTTACTAAGTAACTTACTTAAACAATATAATTATAAATTTTATAACTCACTGACATAAAAAGACTTTAACTCACTGATGTTAGTTACAGCATTTACAGGATTAAGTACATAATTACAAAAAGAAACACCTTGCCTTACTTTTTAAAGGTTCTTTTTTCTCCCCCTATTATACGATTCGTGTTCTCCCTAAAAGAATCAAAAAAGAACCAAAACAAAATATAAACTATCCACAATTCCATCACCTCAAGAAAACTGCCACTGGTTTTAATTATGTCCTCTGGCTTCTTCATATTTTCAACTGAAAACACATTAAACTGCCGAGTATGTTAAACATCGCAGCCCGCCTTCCCATCCCCCCAAATCGTACGCCCCACCTACAGAGTCGGACCTAGGCCCTACAGTGATCGTCCGTTTCAACTTCTCCAGCCCAGCAATGAACTAACTAATGCAAAATACAGGGATAAGCAAAAGAACTTTACAATAAAGGGTAAAGTGGGAGTGAAGGGCCTGGTTTGTGGCCAAGTTTTAACCATTAACACAAAGAAAAGCGTTAACACCTCCTTTGTGCCTCCCACACTTTAGGAATAGTACTCTTCTTCCTTCCGTAAGGGGTTCACCCGGCTTGATCGGCGGACCTGCCCGGCGCCTGAAGCTGTAGCTGATGACACTTCCGCTTCTTCCTTAGGTTTCCCCCTAGTTCATTCTTCCTTCGTTAGCCCATCCGGCCAACCAGTCCCTGAGGGCCCACATTCACCCAACGCTGTCGGCCTCGGCGAGTGCAGACCCTGAGGGACTTGGAGCGGCCGTCCCGGGGAACACAGGGTAGGCCCCGCCACACCTCGCATCTCGCATGCCGCGACCGCCTCTGCTGGGCACCAGGGCGAAACCTCACCGGAGCAAGCCACCATCCTCCCGCGCACCGTGCCCAGGACCTCGGCTCGGACCCCAACCCGCCACTCACCACCGGGCCGGAAGCAGGAATGCGGAAGCCCGGGCTTTCCTGCCCCGCCCACAGGTCTGCCCCAGTCTGAATCCGGCTTGAGAAAGTCCAGAGGCCAGTTTCCGGCTGCGCCATTGCTGCCTGGGTCCCGGGACCTCGACTTCCAGAGCCGGGGGCGGGGGGCGGGACGGCGCCGGGGTTTCCGCCAGCGGCAGGTGACACCGCGCTGGGCCACCTCCGGGGCTGACGTGCAGGCGAGGGTGGGCACAGGCCTCTGGGAATGGGTCCGGACTCACTGAGGTCTTCTACCTTTGCTCTCTAGGCCAGCCGGGAAACAGTCCCCCTGCCCTGCGGGAGCCAGGTGATGGAGGGCCCCGGTGGGTGAGGATTGAGGTCCCTGGAAACTCAGACCAAAGAGCGTCGGCAGGAAAAGAGTTGGTCCCCACGGTCAAGGTGAGGGGCACACAACGACTTCCGAAGTATTCTGGCGAGTTGCTTCTGGTTCACGAGTCCCCCTTTGCTCCTCTCCTGGTTGGACAGTAGTTGAAGCCTGACGTAGAGGAGGCAAAACAGCAATTGGACTCGGGTGGATGCACTGAATCTGGTTACTAAGGGAAAATGCAGCCATGCTGTGCGAGGAGGGCTTTTTGTTGTTGTTTGTTTTTAATTTAAGAACCTAACTCATTTCACACACATACACAAAAATCGATATTTGCCCAAAGTAAACGATAAATAATTATACTGGGTATAGAGCTCCCACAGAGGCACTTGTTCTTTCAGTACACAAATAAAGGGATACAAAAGTCAACAAGCAGGAGGAGTGAATTAATATTGTCTTCTAATCTACAGGAACTGAAAGATTAGCTCTGGTTTGGTTGGTGACTGAATTTTGTGATTGCTTGCATTGAACTGCACTGTTTGACTACTCCAGCAAGTGTTGCAAGACTTCTTCATTGTTGTATGACAAATACAGAAAGTTTTTATTCTTGAAAGACTATAGAATGTTCTCTTTGAGGAACAAGCTGTAACATGTATAACTAGTTTAGGTATAACAACGTTAACTGTTGTTTACCAGGGAACAGGCTTTTGGCAAATAATCTAAAATAATGTTCGTTGGGCATATGTTAATGTTTGCATGTTGTATTAGCAGCAGTTGTTTCCCTACTCATTCTTGTTTAAAGACTTGGATGATGGTTTCAAAGCTTGGCCTGCTGGATCTAGCCTGTACCTGTAGTAGCCAGAAAAAAAAAATGGACTCAGTCACTGGATTGCGTGTACTCAACACTTTACTTGCTGGAGGTAATAATATATGAACTTTTAAAACTTGCCCAAATAGTAATTCCAGGAGGGGATCAGAATTTATTTTAACGTCCTTTATTACAAAGCTAAGGTGAAGAGACAGTATTCCCAATTACTACCTCTCCAATAGTTGGCTCTGTTGCATCCCTCATTAAACACATAGAAGTCTTGGGCCAGAAGATCTTGCACATAAGGAGGAAACACTGTATGTAGCTCTTTGGCTCTAGTGTTAGATCATCCTTTCACAGTCAGATATTAACTGAGCTAGCTTCCAGTTCCAGAGCAGGCTGCAAGTTCAGGAATAAGATGGAGTTGCAACTGCTGAGCTGCTTATTGCAACCTGCATTGCCTTAATGAGAGGTGGTGCCAAGATTTGTTCTTTCTACAGTGAAAGTCTTACAGTTTGTGAGTTGAGATTCACTTGTCCCTGCTGATCTGTATACTTTAAGTCACTCTGAGCCTGTTTCCTTTTCTGTTTGTGGAAAGTGTACTAGGTTATCTCTGGTGTTTTTTCAGCATCGAAGTTTTGTCAGTTGGACTGGATTTGGCCATTTTTCTGATGTATGCTTTTTTGTCTTTTAAATATGTTTTATTGATTATGCTATTACAATTATCCCATTTTACCCCCTTTATTTCCCTCCGCCCTGCATCCTCCCACCCACACTCCCCTCCTTTAATTCATGTCCATGGGTCATACATATGTAAGTTCTTCAGCTTCTACATTTCCTAAACTATTCTTAACTACCCCTGTCTATTTTGTACCTACCATTTATGCTTCTTATTCCCTGTACCTTTTCTGTGCTTCTTAAGCAGCAGCAGAATAAGGAATTTAGTGGAAACATCATAGCCAGTTTTCTTAAGGTCTTATTCTTTACTTGAAAAAGTCCACAATTGGGTTTTAATTACTCCTCTCAAGTGTCTTTCAGAATGCCAACTTAGAATAACAAGGAAATAAGATTGGCCAGTATTTATTTTTTCAGAAATAAAGTCTTACCCACATAACTAACCAAATTATTGGTAACTAAACTTTACACTTAATTAAGGAGGCTTTGTCTTTGCTTTGGAATAATTTCTGCATAGCATGTCACACCACCAGCCCCATCTGCATTAGTTACTCTGTTGCAGTGATTTTTCAACCTGTGTGCCAGCATGAATTTTTAAAACATGCAATACCTACCTCATTATTTAGTCAAGGGCACTGACCTATTTTCCCTTAGATTGTCAAATTAAAAAATTACAACAGTCAACAATAGTAGTCCAGTGTGAATGAGTCAAAATTATACTTGTTTTTGGTCAGATCTGCAAAAAATGATTTTTGGTATGCCGCAGTTTCAGTAATTAGTTTGTGTGCCATGAGATGAACAAGGTTGAATGTGGCTGCTTTGTTGCAGTTACATTTTGAAAATGGAGTTTCACAAAATAGTAACAGTTTTTTTCCTCTTAAAAAGTTAATTCTTAGTTTTTGTCATGTGTCTGTTTAAAAGTATTTTTCCCTTCGGTGGTAGAAAGTTACATTTCACCCTGACTCCTATCAAAATTGTAAATGAGTGAAGCCTGAATAAGATTCTCATAATAATCTAGACCTGACTAAATATTTTGAGAGCTTTCTTACCTGTTCAACATTTTGCTTGTTTCCATGCGGTAACACTTCACATATTTGATTTATTTTGATGGAATTGGTTTCTTCCTTAAGTTTTATTTTGTGAGTTTTTTCTTTCATAGATATACAATGTAAACACATTTCTTAATAGGCATATTTATGTAATTAAAAAGTGATGATAAGTTTTAGTGATATTTGGAAGATCGTACTGAAAAATAATTTTAAAGCTATTTTGAGTTCTTACTATATACCACCTACTGAGCTGGATGCTTCACATCTGTTATCACTAATCCTAAAACTAAACAACCGGATGCAATAGGGACCAGGGACTTGCAAAGTATAGCAGGGTTCTAAGCACATCTGCCAAAGTCCCTGGTCTTTTTTAATATTAAAGACTTGGCAAAAATGCTGGTTTCATAAGTGAAAGTATGTTTTTTTATTCTAAACTTGTTAATTAACTGATAACCACAACTAAAATCTTCCTGTACTTTAAAATTGCCTGTTGCCCAGGTGGTAGCATAATGTCTCAAAGAGGTGTGGAGGTGCAGAAGGGTCTCTCCAGCCTTGACAGCTGATTTGCCAGTTCATCTCATGTGCACACACTGTCCACCAACCTCCAACTTCTCTGTTGGGCCCTTTCAGTGTTAGACCAACTGATCAGTGATTCCATCCTCTCTTCAGTCTTGTCTTCTGAAGGGATGCTGGGCTGCCAGTTTGCTTCCAGCCAGTTTGCCTGCAAAGTATCACCCAATTATTTTTTAGAAAGTTCATTTAGACCTATCCAATAACACAAAGAACTTTTTTTCAAATATTATTTTTTGCCCATTGTGAAATGTAACTTATATAATTAGCTAATACTATGAAATACTTGCTTAAGGCATGTTTCTTGAAAACTTACAGGTTTTACCAATTAAGGAGGTAATGAAGCACATTTAAAAGATAGAATTAGTCTTCAAAATAACAAGATTTAGGGAGCAGTGCAAGGTTCTCTAATTCAGAAGGAACGCATATAAATATACATAGCAAAATAGCTATTTAGACCACTTTGGCCAAAACTTGCTTAGAACACTTCTCATGTTTTTGCAGGCCTACTGCCTGCCTTCCTCCTAAGGAAAGCCCTCCTTACCCCTATCATTTATTTTTTTCACAAAGCCTCATTTTGATATCTTACTTCTTGACTGGTTTATTTATTATCTGTTTTCCACACTAGAATGTAAGTTATATGAGATCAGTTACCCCAGAACCAATAATATTGTTTTGAATAGTTGATTCCAAGTTACAGCATTTATACTTACAAATAAAACTTAGTGTTTGAACAGATCATAAGTCTACGGCCATACCACCCTGAACCCACCCGATCTCATCTGAACAAACCATGAACTCATGTAAATCCTGGGAAGATGTGAAGTTCATATTAAAGTACCAAATCGTTGCAGCAGGTTTTGAAGGTAATAAGGGATGCCCCAGTAAGAAGAAGTCTAAAGATTAGCAGATAAGATGTTTGGGGAAAGGTAAAAGTAATTGTGGTTAGCTTGTTAATGAAAGAAAACTAGTTGCTTAAAGATTTTCAAGCATGTAAAAGTATGTATTAGGAATGTAGTGATTCATCATCTTTATTGATAAGATAAAAGGAATTAGTCCTAGACTGTAGGTGCTGAGAAATAAGACAAGAACAAGCTATGCTAGAGATCTAAACAGAGATCTTTGAAAGTGGGGTATGAGTATATATGCAGGCTAGATGCCCTTTCTAGATATTTTCCAGCTTTATGAGTCCCAAAGCAGATTGCGGGAGAAATACTGAAGTTAGATAGCAGATGCTTCTCTTGTTGATTATTCTTTGCTCTTTCTGCCCTTTTCCATGCATTTTAGAAATACAGTTAATACAGGTGGTTATATATTGCTGCTTTGAGTAATTCATAACATTTTTTCACATACTACTGAAAATTGGTCATTTCTGCTGTTAAACACTGAAATTATTTACCTTTACAATTTAATTCTGTATCTCCAGAATATACTATATATGCACTTGCAGCAAACTAATTCCCTTAGAAGAGCACCCTTTTGAGAGGGTAAAATTGCCAACAAATTGAAGGCTTCTGAAGCCTTCGTTTGCAGTCCTGTTAGAGTTTTGAGAGACACTAAGCATTCCTGCTGAATCTAGAAGCTCAATTATTAGGTCTGTCTCTAAATGATATAATTATATTAGCTAGGTCAAGTCACCTTTTACTTCTGTCCTGGCATCTTTTTTTTATTATTTTTTTAAAAGATTTTATTTATTTATTTTAGAGAGATGAGGAAGGGAGGGAGAAAGAGAGGGAGTGAAACATCAATGAGTGGTTGCCTCTAGCACATCCCGTACTGGGGATATGGCCTGCAACCCAGGCATGTGGCCTGACTGGGAATCAAACCAGCGATGCTTTGGTTCACAGGTCTGCACTCAATCCACTGAGCTACACCAGCCAGGTGTCCTGGCATCTTCTAATCATTAAATAAGAATTGCTGTCTAATTGGAAAAACTAATCCATATATGCTATAAGAATTCTTCAGGGTAAAAGGAATGTGTATTGCAGAAACAGCCCCTAGCAGCTTCATCTTTGCTAAGTAGATTTTAATTTGATACCTTCACCTTCATCTAAGCAAGCTATTGGAAGGAAGTAACCATATAAAACATGTTAATTGCATTTGCTGTATTTTCGAGAACATAGTCCCCTGTGTGATACAGTGCCCTTTTATATAAAATCTCATTTAAGGTAGGCTAGAATGTGATTCTGAAAAAGTTTTAGAAACCTCTTTTAAGTTTTAATTTAATTTAATTTTTAAATTTATATTTCAGTTACAGTTGTCATAATATTATACTAGTTTCAGGTGTATAACATAATGAATAGACATTTATATACCTTATGAAGTGATCACCCTTATAAGCATAGTACTCATCTGACACCATACGTACACAGTTAAGTACAGTATTATTGACTATATTCCCTATGCTGTACTTTACATCCTTGTGACTATTTTTATAACTGGCAATTTGTATTTAATCCCTTTTACCTTTGTCACCCATCCCTCCAGTCTCTCTCCATCTGACAACCATCAATTTGTTCTCTGTATCTATGAGTTTGTTTCTGTTTTGTTATGCGGAATCGTAATGGCATTTGTCCTTTTTGTCTGATTTGTCACTCAGCATAATACCCTCTGAATCCATTCATGTTGTTGGGAATGGTAAGATTTCACTCTTTTTTGTGGCTAAGTAATATTCCATTATATATTCAGGGGCCACGTCAGCCTCGCAGTTGCCTTCAAAGGGCCAAATGTAATTTTAGGACTGTGTAAAGGTAACTGCTCCTTAACAGTGAGGCGAGAGCTCGGCGCTGCCGCTGGGTAGAAACAAGGTGCTAGGCCAGATAAAACAAGGAGGAGGGCCGGATTCAGCCCACAGGCCTTGTGTTTGCCACTGTGATATATATGTACTACCACTTTTTAATCCACTCATCTACTGATGGATGCTTAGGTTGCTTCCACATTTGGCTGTTTTAAATAATGCTGCAGTGAACATCCTGGTGGCATATATCCTTTCAGATAAGTGTTTCAGATTTCTTCAGGTGAATACCCAGAAGTGGGTTAAGTTAGGAAGTGAAACCATCTGAAATCCAGAAACTCTATTCTGATTCATATATGTTCTCTTGAAGTATAATAAATAATAGTGCTCCATATGATGAGTTTTTGGAGGTATTGAATTTTGAGTTTTCCTTATTATTTAAATTTGACCTTGATTAAATAATTTTCTGTTCTCTACAGTAGCAGATAATAATGCCTGCCTTCATACAAAAAGTTGGACCAATATTCTTTGGAGATTCTTTTCGTCTCGAGGTTTTCGTATACTGTTGTGGAACTATACTGCATTTGGAGACTTGTATTATTAATGACTATAAGTGTATAAGAATCTGATTTAATCTCTAGTTCTAGGTTTATGTTTGATCTCATTATGAGGACCAAAGAAATCATTTAATATTTATGTGTCTAGGTTACCATGTCTATAAAATATACCTATTTTTTGCAACACTGACTAGTTAATGAATAAACATGTAGCTTC